ATTTTCGGGTAGTAAGTCGTCGAGAGCCGTCGTACGATTTCTAATAGCTAATAAATCTTCTTCTATAGAATACTAATAAACTATATACTCCGGTTCGAGATAATTATAGATAGTAAATCGTAATTTCGATAAAACGTACGAACGAAGAGACTAGCTATATCCTTAAAAGTAATTATATATATTAATTCTAGTATTACTTCCTTCTCTAGACGGTTAGTAATTATAGCGAGATTTATATATCCTTCGCTTAAAGGTAAGTTAATAATAAAATTAATAGAAATTTCTCTCTATATATAACTCGATATAAGAAGGAGTTTTAAGAATTCTTATTATTTCTTCCTCTATACTTTTATACGTCTATATATATCGTAATTATATATAAACCGTCGAATATTCTATAGTATATTTAGCTAAAAGAATTATCGAGATATTAAAACTATAATAGCTTTTTATCTAGAGTAACTTCTAATTATAGAATCGTATATCTCTTAGATTAATTCTATATAAAAGAGTTCTAAATTAAGTACTTAATATCTTCCTCGAAAGAATAGATATTTACTTTCGTCTATTATATACTTAAAGATTAAGACTTTAATTTCTAGTATTATCGGGAACTTCTAAGCGTTACGAAGAATAGCGCTCTTCGCCTCCTCGTATATAGTATCTTCTTATATAGCGATATCCTACGTACTTAGGAATATTAAAGATTCTTCGGCCTCTTCGTCTTCTTTTATTATACGTATAGGCGCGGCGATAATTATACTACTTAATACCGAAAAGAACTTAAGTTTTAGTAACGTTATTATATAATATTAGAAGCGATTATCTTCTTTTTCTTATAGAATATTCTATTTTTAACGAGATAAAATATTAACTCGTACGTTATCCTTTCCTTTAAGGTAGAAAATCTTAAAGTTATATCGCGAGAAGATAAGAAACTATTTTATTTATTATTTCGTAAGTTTTCGTATAATTATAAAGTACTCGAGATTCTTATAATTAGAGCGAATCTTAAATTTCTTAACGCTTTAGAGCTTAGCGTTCTATTCTTCTAAGTACTATATAATCGCGAGTATTTTCTTATCGTAGATTTTATAGTTATACTCGACTAGTAAGTTCTTTTTCGAGAAAAAGGCGTAGAGTTATATAATACCGTCCTCGCCTACTTAGAATAGAGTTTCCCCTATATACTACTTAAATATATCTACTTCTAGAATTATTTTATACTTATAGTTAAATATCGTTAGTACGAATATAATAGTAAAAATTCTCTTAAGTTATATAAAAAATTCCTTAACTTTATCGTTCTATTTAAATATCGTATTCTTTCGTATAAGTTTTATAATTAGAAGAGTAATTATAGAGAAGTCTTTTATAAATCGACGATAGAAGTTAGTAAATCTAAGAAAGCTCTATATATTTTTTACGAATATCGGGAGTTACTATTCTTAAATCGCGAAGACCTTAGCTAGATCTATTTATACGCCTTACTTAGCTTTAACGATAAAGTCGAGGTATTTAATCGACTTAATCTTAAATTCGTATTTATTAATATCTACTTATAGTTTCGCTTCTCTTAGTTATATAAGAACCTTTCGGACGTACTCTTAATACTCTTTTCGGAATCTAGAAGAATAGATTAAAATATTATCTACGTACGCGAAGTAAAATATATTAAGATAGCTACGAAGGACTTAATTAATATATTTTTAAAACGTACTAGGCGTATTCGTAAGTTTAAAGAAAGTTACTAACTATTTAAAAAGTTTATATCTCGTACGAAATATCGTTATCTATTCGTCTCCTTTAGCGATTCGAATTTTATAAAATACCGTAATAATATCTAGCTTTATATACTATTTAGCTCGTCCGATATTACGTAGGGTTTTATAGATTAAGGGGAGTAGATATCGGTCCTTTTTCGTAATCTTATTTAATCCGCGATAGTTAACGTAAAAGCGAAGGCTTCTTCTTAGTTTTCGTATAAAGAAGATAGGCGCTATCGTAGAAAAGTTACTTATACGAATAAAGCTTTTATCGAGATATTTTATTAACGTACGACGGAGAACTAATAGTTTATCTCGAGATATATTATAGAGAAGTTTCTAGAGTACTTCTAGTCGTATATCGTTTTCTATTTCTAGTTTAATAGTATAGTCGATTCTTTTTCCTCGTAAAGAAGGTAGTTTTTCTATATTTATACGATTAAAAATATCTAGGAATATATAGAAGTATTTTAGTAGCTTAGTACGAAAGTTTATTAATATTTTTACCGCGAGGACTTTCTCGATATTAGCTATTATTACTAAGAATACTTAAACTTCTTTTCTTTTTATACGCTAATAGGCTAATAAAGAAAAGGCGATAGCTAAGACTATCTAGTAATCTAGAGTCGTACGAGTTCTCTATAAAGTATTCTAGATCTATAAGTCCTAGAGTCTTAATATAAAAGTATCTTACTTCGCGGTAAATTATACGTTATTTTTCTTTATTTAAGGAAGTCCGAGAATAATATCGTACGAGAAGTTAGATATAACGTAGAAGAAGGCTTCTTCTTTATATCTATTTATATCGACTTCTACCTTAGCGACTTTCGTAATTTTAGATCGTATAGAAGTACTAAAGCCGAAGATAAAGCGAGGAGTAATAGAAATACGCTCGAAAGACTATTAAGAAGTAAAACGAGAGTTTATAAGATTATATAATAAATAACCGAAGTTAATTAAAGCTAATATATAGTATTATTTTATCTAAAAGTAACGAAACTATAAAAAGTTAGTCGTCTATCGTAGGCTAAAAAGCCTTCTATTTCTTTTCTATTCTCTTTATACGCTTCTATCGATAATTTTTAATAGAAGCTACTCTTTTTAATGATTCCTCGTCGTCTTCTCGCTCTACTATTACTATTCTTCTTTTCGCCTTAGGTCGTACGAAGCGAAGGAGGTTATATTTTTTAATAAAATAGTCCTTTTTACCGTATCGTAGATAGTATTCTATTTCTCTTCTCTAGTTAAGGATCGTTCGTAATATTTATAACGCTCGTTACGATTATACCGCTATTAGAGTAGCCTATACGATAGTAGGTACCTAATCTATTCTATCGTTCGTACGATTAGAATAGTCGTATACGATATTAGGAGTATATCTATTTCCTATTCTTTATCGTTTAAGATTTTCTAGGTTTATACTAATCGTATATAGAAGCGTATAATACTCTTTATATATTACTAGGATAGAAGTAGCGACTAGAATATTACGTAACTCGTACGATAAGTAGTTTAATAGGAATATCTTTTTAACGAAATTAGCTTAACTTAGACCTTTCGCTTCTAATAGTATACGATCGAATTTAGCTAGGAAAGTACCGAAAGGCTTTCCTTTCTATTTTAGTTAAGAAAGTTTTCTAGAAGCTCTCTTAGCGATACTAATATTATCGTATACTATAACTAATTAATCTATAAGGCCTTTCGTCGTTATATCTAGAGTTTTCTATATAAAGTCTACTTAAGGACTAATTTATAAGAGAGCGTATCCTCTTAACCTACTATAGAGATACTAGAATCGTATCGTCTCTAGCTTTCTAGACTTATCGATAACGAGCTTAGCTCGCGCTTACGTTAACTATAGGCGAAATTTAGTTCTTTTTCTATTAAATTCGACTAACTTAGGGAGTTTAGCCTTTTATTATACGGAATTAGCGTCCTTTATCGTATTTATCGTCGAAGAAGTTAATCTCTCTAGCGTACGATTATTTCGTTCGTTTTATTATTCTATTTATACTTTAAGCGCTACTATCTTTTCGTTCTAAACTTATAGTATTTAAAATAGCTACGCTACCTATTAGAGAAGGCTATTTTTCGTTATCGTTAATTCGTTATCTATTTTATACGATAAGAACTCTTTCTCTTAACTATATAATAATAAGCTTAACGTAATATAAGGGTTTTAATAGGAGCTTATTTAACTACTATAGGACCTATTTAATAAGAACGTAAAGCTAAAGAAAAGAGAGAAAGAAGTCCTACCGCTATCTAATAGGAAGATATAATCTCCTAGGGTAGGTCGCTCGATATTCTAGGTAACTATTAGCGTTACGTAATATCGTCCGGCTATATAACTATACGATCGAATCTAGGTATCGCTAGTTTAGTCTTAGCGTCGCTCGCCAAGATATTTATTAATATTACGTAATATCGTTCGGCTATATAACTATACGGTCGAATCTAGACGTCGCTAGTTTTTACTAAGATACTTATAGGTTTAACCTATTATACCTAGAGTAATTACTCGTAGTATACCTTTAGGCTATATAACTATATAGCCGAAGCTACGTAACTCCTCCCTATCGATTATCTCCTAGGAAACTATACTAACCTACTATAGGAGAGGGTAGGGAGTATTTCCTTTATTCGTATAGTAGATAGATTTTCTCTTTTCTTTTCTCTCCTTAGCTTTAGAATCCTCGTTATACAATAGTTAGACGAATTACTCTAAATTCCTAGCTAAACCCTTATAATTATAAGCTTATAGGGTAAATCTTAATTCCTATAGGCTCGCTAGGCTTAGCCTTAAGTACTATAGACTCGCTAGGCTTAGCTTAAGTACTATAGGCTTATATAGTATATTACTTCTACGCATCGAGCTAGGACTTCGTATAGCTTCTAACTAAGTAAGTATACTTTTAAACCTTCTCTTTCCTAAGGTATATATATACTCTAGTTATCTCTAAGATCTATATAATTACTATCTTCTCTATCTTCTATATATTACTATATTATCTATATCTTTAATTACTACTATAGCTTTTATTATAGTAATATAGGTATAGTGAAAGTGCGTTTGACGAAGTGAGTTGGTCAGGCAACCGGCACGATTACATGCCTTGGTATGAAAGGGTCGCTAATTATATACTCACTGGCAATGCCTTGCGGGAATGGAGGTACCGCAGACTTCCCAGGGAGCCACGAGAGAAGAATAATATCCAGCTTTGGCTCGATGCCATGGATTGGAGCAAAGTGGAGGAGTTAGCCCTCTTAGGCTACTATGGGAGAGACAAGGGGCCCTTCTTCAACTCAACACCGAGTGCTTTAATGGGGCTTCGAAGATTGGAGCTCGAAGGTGAATGTCGAGGCACCACGCTTCGATTCCTTCAAAACCTGCAGAACGACACGCTGACACATTTGGTGTGGAGGGGCTACTTCAATTCCACTCTGCCCTTTATCGTTCAACAGTTCCAAGGCTCATCTCTCGAACACCTCGATATCCACACCTCGGAGACAGTCCATGTGGAAAGCCCGTCATTCTCAGCCTCGGAACTCGAGCCACTCCAGCACCTGCCCAACCTGACCCATCTGTCACTCAACGTTGCACGAAACGGCACCTGGCCGTTGGAAATGCTATCAGCGATCTCTCAGATTCCATCGCTGCGCACTGCCGACTTGTGGCTGGACATCGCCTCCACGTGCTGGAAACAGAAGGAAGACAGCTGGTATCCTGAATCAGAGGACACGGGTTGTATGGGAGAGGATCAGTACCTGCTGCCATTCATCAACGAGACAACGACACTGGAGGTCTTCAAGCACATGCGTGCGAATAAGGTCGGCAACCCATGTTGCTTATTTTTCCACTTGACATCTTCAAGACCCTCTTTGACACAAGGAAGAGACTCGGAAATGAATGCATCTTCCCTCAGCTCCTCGACTCCAATTTGCTCGGAGAGCGATGTCACTAGTCGAAAACAAGCCCTTTGGCCGGGAACACCAACATTGCAAGATGTGATACCATGTGACACCGAATCCAGGAAGTAGCGTTAGGTACACGTGACTAGGCCTGAGTAGTAAGGAGAAGAGCAGCCACCTTTGCAAGTTTCACAAGCCCGTCACATTTTGCATTATGTGACATGTTCCGTTGGAAGAGATCATTATCATGTTGAGCATGACTAACATGTGGTTAAACAGTTTTATATTTCTCAGAGCTTCGACTCGCTCTGACAGGGTCTGAGGTGTATTGTCTATCCGGAGCTGCTGCAGTAAATATTGTAGTGCTAGGCGATTAAGCGTTTCGGGATTGTCCTTCAAGCATGGCTCACAACACCAGGTTGCCATGGATAACTGACAAGGGCTGGGTGTCTGTAAAGCTTGGCGGCCTATTACCAGCGAACCTTTGGCTACAGGCGATTTATCCCTAAGGTACAGGGTTGGATTGGATTGGGTTTCATTTAGCCTGACCTCTTGCTTATGAGCCACCTGCAGGCTATCACTACTTAGCTATCTTTTATGACCTGTTAGTTTGTTCTTGATTGTCTTTACGCCTCGTTAAAGCCTGTGATGTGCCCTCGGCTGAACTGAAGTCACGGTTGAGATACTAGTGTTGCAAAGCTAGTACGAGGCGCCCGGTGTACGGAACACGGCCTACGGATCACGGTGTAGGATTTCTTAGTCGACCCCAGTGTCGAAACTTCAAAGGACTTCGTCTTATCTCCTTCAAGCCTCACTGTCAGCTTCAAGCAATAGAGTAGCCTTCAGAACTCTACGCTCTCAACATATTGCCCACCATCCCATTGCCTTGTTACGAAGTCATCACCACTGGGACCATCATCTTGATCACTCCCGATAATGGCTGCGAGACAGGATTCTGCCGAGAAGGACTGTGTGTACGAGGACCATGTGGTGACCACTGATCAGACAATCGATAATTCTATCGGTGTTGAGACAATCTACCATATTCGTCAGCGAAACATCAAATTTGTGGGAGATGCGATAGAACAAATTGGTATGGGCCCATATCAGTGGCGCATGTTCTTGGCCTGCGGGTTCGGTTTCGTTGTTGATCAGGTACGGCAAAAATTACCCCAGGTTTCACCGATATGCGACTTATGACAGACAATGCAGATGCTTCTTGTTTCTGTGGGACTCGTAATACCTCAGGTAGGGAAGGAATTCGTCTCCAAAAGCCCAAGTTTCGCCGTCATGGCTCTCTATGTCGGCCTTCTGGTGGGAGCTTTGAGCTGCGGCTTCCTCGTCGATCTCATTGGTCGACGTTTGGTTTGGATCATGTCGCTTTTCCTCGTGTCCATCTTCACAATGATTTGCGCGGCGGCCCCAAATTTCGCTGCCCTCTGTGTCTTTATTGTCCTGCAGGCCATTGCAGGCGGAGGAAATAGTGAGTCACCACATGCGTTTCTGGCTCATCCTACTGACTATCACAGTCGCCATCGACCTGACGGTGTTCTGTGAATTCCTCCCCAAAAAGAACCGCTATCTTATGACTGCCCTGGCTTCAATGTGGGGCGTTGGAAACACACTTGGGGGTCTCCTCGGTAAGGCGCTTATCAAGATGAACGAAAAAACAGTGAAGCTGATCGATGCAGCATGGCCATTGATCGCGAATTACTCTTGCAGCAATGATGCGACTCCGGCTGATTGCGCTCGGCTCAAGAATATGGGCTGGCGATACCAGTACATCACAGTTGGAGGTTTCTGCCTGGTCATGGCCCTAGCACGCGTGTTTTTGTTTAGGATGGAGGAGTCACCTAGGTGGCTTGCTGCGCAAGGAAGATTGGACTCTGCTTATGAGGCACTGGCTAGAGTTGCTCGCCTTAATAAATCAAGTATAATTCTTCAGCATGATCGACCACCACCGCCCCATGTTGAAATATCTACCCTCTCAAGAAGGAGTCTGTCACCTCAACATCGTGACAAGTTCGCTGTTCTTCACCATGTCAAGGGGTTGTTCGAAAACCCAAAGATAGCCCGCTCAAGTGTTGGAGTTTTCTTCCTTTGGATGGGTATTGGTATTGCGTAAGTCGCATTCACTTAGGGGTTTTCCCACTAACTCGCATGCAGATACCCTGTCTACACCTTATTTCTGCCTGCCTACTTATCATCTAAGGGTGCAAAACTTGGAGATGGAAGTGTCTATGTAACTTACCGTGACTATACTATTTCCTCAACCGTTGGTATTTTCGGCCCAATTCTCAGCGGGTTCCTTGTCCAACTCAAGTTTCTCGGTCGGCGGAGATCTATGACCGTAACTGCTTGCTGCGCTGCTGCGTTTGCGATCGCTTTCACGACTGCCAAAACCGAAGCTCAGAACATTGCGTTCTCTTCAATGATCAACTTCTGGCAAAATGCTTATTACGGGATCTTATATGCGTAAGTGCCCTAGCTCTTAGCTTAACTCGATGGCTGGATCTAATCTAGAATTGGACAGCTACACTCCCGAAGTCATGCCCCTTTCAAATCGAGGCACTGGGTGCGGTATGGCTGTGGCATTCGGCCGTTTGGCATCAATCACCTCACCTCTGGTTGCCATTTATGGTAATACGAGCACTTCAGCCCCACTTTGGGTTTGTTGTGGTCTGTACTTCGCCATGGCAGCAGTTGCGTTGTTCCTGCCATTCGAACCAGAACACTATTATGCTCAGGAAGATCAATTGGACCAAGAGATGCTGAACTAGATCCGGCCCTAAAAATGCAAGCTCCGAGAAGACTATTGATTCGAGATCTGTGATGCCCTTCCGTGATTCCGTCGTCTCATCAGGACCCTGGAATCTGTGTCAGTCTCATACTTTTCGCTGATTTTTGAGCCACCCAGCGATGGCTGTCTCCTGCTCTGTAGATTTGTCGCTAGTCAGTCTGGAAAGTCACGGAAATCCCTACAGGTGGCTGGCACCATAGACTGATCCTGAAAGGTGGTTCGTGCGTTGGGCGGGTAGCAATGCTCATGCAGGACTTACTATTCAGCATCTGTTTATCCTTCGATGATTGCCCCAAGTCGTGAAGCCATTTGCTTAGTAACACCGCGTATTCGAGGGCACAAAGCGCATGTTGGATACTCCAAAAGAAGCCCCGGCTCCGCGCGACATATGCTACACCCAATTTGACCGGAATGTTAAGAGAATGTGTGGCGTGGAGAAGAGCTCGTTCCAGCATAGGTCTACCTTGGATCGGAGTTATGTTGAGAAGCGTATTGGCGATCTTTTGTGGACTTTTCGAGTCCAGGGCTCTGAATGCGCCGGCGTCCAAGCATAGGCGGCAATGTATGAGTCCGAGGAGACCGGCTGAAGTAAATGGTATAGGCCCGTTCGGATTGCGTGGATCGAGGCTGGACTCGGGTGCTTCTTGCCAGGCGATTGTCCATGAGCGAAGAGAATTCCTAGAAGTAGAATGGTCAAATTTGAAGGCAAAACTCAGGGTAGACATTGACGTACTCCAAGCATTTGATGTCTTTGTCTGGTAGCGCATTCTTCCCCTGCCCCGGAAGAGACGATTGCCTCAGGAGAATACCCGCTGCAATAAGCCGTGCAATAACACATAATTACCCAGGGCCGATGGAGCCGGCTCGATATTGGTAGCACCATCAGATTTCAGCAGACGAGACAATGTCTCAGCGACCCGGCCTTGGGCCAGATGACGGCCATCATGACGTAGTGCATGCCAATGCTCTTGACTTGTTGCTGCCCACTCCTTGCTTTACGAAGGCATTCTCAAATTAAGCTCCTCTGCCAGCAGGATGGACGGGATAATGTAGGCCAGGCTCTGAATATTCAGGAAAGCGAAGGCGAGTAATTTGGTGCGTTTGTCAGATTCCTTTCTGCCCACGCCTGCCACCCAAGTTTGTCATCGTCGAGATCTGAACCTCTATCATCAAGACCGGCATCTCGCACACATTGGACCAGACTGCTTCGCAGCGCCAAAGTTGTGTGATGAATGTGTCGATCGATTCTCCATGTGGAAAAACAATCAGATTCAACATCAACGAGCATCATCCATCAGGAGCACTTTTGATCGAGATTGAGAGTCATCATGGTTCTCAGTGTCAACCACATCTGTGCACGCTTGGTATTGTAGCCCCCGGTCTAGACCAGATGGATCGGAGTCTTCGTTTATGCTTACCGACAGCCTTGATCTGTCTGATACTCCTCGCCTCTCTCTCATCCGTGCATGGAGAATATCACTGGCAGCAAAGAACAGCGTCACGCATTGTTGATGTTCGAACCGATATTGTGCGCCGGCAGCAGCAACTGACAGCACAAGTTCGAGGTTGCCCGTTGCATGATTGAAAGTGGACGGATGTATGAACAGCAAATGCGGATGGAATGAGTCAAAATACGCATTTATATATCGATTGAACGCATGTTGAGAGGGAAGTGAAAACCTTGGTACAAATGACTGGTATCGTGATAGGGTTTCTTGAAGAGGTTCGAACTCGGCTTCGCCCAGATCAACATGAGGCGAGCTATCAATCTGGCGAAGTCGGGTTGCTAGACCAAGCTTTAGTTGGCCAACGGGATGAAATAATAACAACAGTACTTAAGTGCAACGCACCATTATTTCTCTTTGGAATGGGCAATATTGTACCCAAATGTGGACTCGACGGGAGGCGTGTCCTCCCTTCCGCAGAATTGACCCCACTTTGAGCGTCAATCTCGGTGGCAGGGTTCTCATTGGGATGGACGACGTCGCATGGCTCCGAGGTTGCGAGATCAAATATCGTATCTAGGCCGAAACTGAGGCCCATGTTGTCGATGAAATCTGCAAATTCATGATAGACATCGGAGGTTTGTCCTAGATAATCTCCACCATGAGGGAAGTGTTAGTTGTGTCCAGCTTTGCTACGATTATATAGCTGACATCACCACTCACCGAACCCATGGTCGATTGAATAGATAGGGGCGCTAATTGGACCAGTGATGGGATCCAACGTTGGCCCGAAGCTGGTCCCTCGCTGACCCTCAGTCTGCAGCGACATGTCGGCAGTCGTGGAATCATGCTCGATAGAATCACCCCTAGCCTTCGCATAGATAGACTCGACCATGTCACCAGACCGCAAAGGCGTTGAAATTCCTGGTGTGCAAGCTTTCAGGCCGTTGTGGGAGTTTTGTTGGTGCCTCTTGAGGAGATCAGATCTTGGAAATGCCGCACCGCACGCGCAAGCATATGGTTTCCCGAGGGTATCTATTAAGGATCAGTGACGATCAAACGTCAAGTTCAAAGGCCCAAAGTTCCCTACGAGTGCGAACATGCCGGCGGAGATGCTCTGCACGACGAAAACAGCGGTGGCAAAAGCCGTACACGTGCCGTTTTCCGACCCCACCTTCGTGGAGGAAAGGGGTTGCTCTATTGCCAATGCCGGGACCATAAGTCGTTGGGAACATTGGAATGGAAAGGCTTGGGCCCAGGTCAAGGAGTCAATTTGCATGGAGGACTAAAATTAAGATGGCCATGAGACTTATATTAGAGCGCATGAAACTGGTCGTCGAGCCAAGTGCGTGTGTACCTCTCGCGGTCATATTATTCAACTCCGAATTCCGGCTGTGGGCCGCAGGGAAGCAAAGAGGCGCTGCATGGAATGTTGGCATTGTTTTAAGTGGAGGCAACACGACCGTGGAAATTCTGGGTGCGCATTACGGACAAGACACAGAGGAACATACTGTTGTGAATCACGGCAGTGGAAGCATATGTTTTATTCTTCTTATTTTCTTTCTACTCTCTCAGAATGTAGAGAGTATAGATACACTGAGAGCAATACTCTAGAAGCTTCCTAACAATATCCAAGCACGCGGAATGATTCCATAAGGCTTTCATCAATGTCATGATAGTCGGTTGAGCCTCATATCACAACACATACAGAGATATCATAGACATGCCAGAGGAATTTTGACGACTGGTAATCTGTGCTGTGCAACCGTCATATTAAATGTGACCGGACTTACAATAGAGGCTGCCAGCCCAATGCTTCATCCCGAATAGTTCACGACTACATTGACGTGGAAGTCGCACTCGAACGCGCCCAACAGCTCGACTTGCACTTTGACTCGGAAGGGTCGGTAGTCGGATCCCTACATGGATTGCTCATTGGTCTGAAAGTAAGGTTTATATCTCTCCTCATTTTGAAGCTGACCCTTTCATAGGATTTGACTTTGGCCAGACGTTTTCATCACTCATTTGGCATTGCAGCTTAGGCGGACAGCGTTGATGATGGGGATGCTGTGCTGGTACAGTCGCTAAGACAAGCTGTCTTCTATGTCAAGACAACCATGCCCCAGACGGGGATGGTACGACAGCCATTTCTCTTCGAAAAAACCTTTCTCACTTGGAGTAGGCTCTAGAAACAATCTCCCATCTCTGGGGCGGGACGTCGAATCCATTCAATACGACGGTCTGCGCTGGACGCTCCTCAGGAGGGGAAGGCGCATTGGGACCATGTCATGGCGCACCCATTGGTATCGCCACTGATATCAGGGGCTCTATCCGCGCTCCCGCATCTTTCAATGGGCTTTACGGTATCCGACCGAGTTCACGTTGCTTGAGCTATGTCGGCAACATTGTTGCGGTCCGGGGGCAAATAGCAATCTCAGCCGTCTCCGGACCTGTTGGCCGCAGTCTCCGTGATATAGATCTTATTTGCCGGGTTCTCCATGATTCACGCCCCTGGCTGTCTGATCCGGCGGTGGTGTCCATACCCTGGACTCCCGTCGAGATTCTCGAAAGGGTTACTATTGGGGTTATGTGGTGGGATGAAGTTGTGATGCCTCACCCGCCCATTTTGCGTGCTGTTAGAGAAGCCGTCGAGAAGTTTAAGAAGGCTGCACATGAAGGTGATTTAAAAGTCAATCTACCAAGATATTAGGGACACACTAACGACATGGTGGCCACAGTCATTGAATTCAAGCCTTGCAAACACAAGCACGCCTGGCACATCACGGTATGTTCAGATCTACAAGTCTGTTATGGTGTGTCCTTCGACTCACCTGATTTCCACAGCTACCTCTCTATTTCCCTACGGCTACCCGAGAACTGAAACAAGTTCTGGGCGCTACGGGAAAACCCATGATTGAATCAGCTCGGAAACTCCTGGAGGGTACGAAAGAGCCATCGGTCCCAGAATTGATGCGGTACAACCAGTGGGTACCCTCGCACCTTTGAAACGCACTAGTATTCAGCATCGCGTAATCCTAACGCCTCAAGCCAGCGAACAGCAGTCTTACAAGCTTGAGTGCCTGAGGCATTGCAACGAGACCGCGAACCGAACATCCTCTCGAAAGCCAGTCGACGCAGTTCTCATGCCATCAATGGCAACTAGCGCCTTCCCACATGGCTTCCTTCCGTAGGTGGACCCGAAGTGCAGAGATGTGCTCCAACTTGCCCAAAGCATCTGACTAACTCTCACTCGCGTGCAGGTGGTGGGGATATCTATCGACGTGGAATCTGTTGGATTACCCAGCAGTAGTAATACCCGTAACACATATTGAGACACAAGACGTCAAAAACCTATCGTATGCACCCGTGAATGAGTTAGACTGAGAAAACTACAATATTTACGACCCGGACAGCCTTGAGGCCGCACCGATTTCACTGCAATTGGTTGGTCGTAGCTTCCAGGGCGAGCAGGTTACCGCTGTGGCGAAGGCAGTCGACAACGTTGTCAACCAAAATGCCAAATAGCCACCATCTCGATACGACCCATTTGCATAAAGCACAATACGAAGTCACTTCTATAACGTATTGAATCATAAGTAGATGATAATGTGTGGAAGGTTTACGAAGACTGAACGTCTCAATATTTAGCTTGTTCCGATCGTTCGAGCAAGGAAGTTCGAGCACTGAAACAGATTTTTTAGTGGTACTGCCGTCCTAGCCCATTTATTTTAAGCCTCTTCAACCACTCACTCTCTGCTGTGGCAATATATACGACAGTATTAGCTGGCCTTAGTACTCAATCTTCAATATCCGGATCTCTCGGCAGTACCAAGAATGGTGGCGTTTGTTCCGTCCACCGTCGCAGCAATTCACACCGGCAAGGGGATTTGACCATTGCACGATCGATGAACGGTTCTTCTGTGAGTGAGCTTGACCGCATGTATTCTATAATCAACCAACAGTATTTTGTGGTTATGGTTAACTGTTGGAAGCTCGTAACCTGAATTAGGGGCCATGGAACTTGACCGGGCATTTTCTCTCTGTGTTGACCTCCAAAGTGAAAACATCGCACCTTTGATACATGCCGGTGAGCGTGATACTGCTTTCCCTCTATTATAGCGCCCATGTCTAGATCTGCATACAGGATGCCCTCTTCATTGCGCAGGGCTTCCGTGTCTTTTCTAGCTCTAGTGGCCTTGTCAATCGTGAAACCTCCAATCACAAGTCCCGAGGGATCCAAGAAAGTCGTTTCGGCTTGATCGGCGTTATCTAACGTGAGCCGCATCGTCTGTCTCGCGTGGTCGGGAGCCAAAGAGACAAGGGATTCGACGTTTTCAGACGACATGAATGCGGAACTGATGACCCCGAAGCACTTGCCCTCAACACACGCCGACCCAGCCCGGAGGCGATTCATATGGACGGGGTCCCACCGGCCGAATTTGGAACCTGTGGTCTTGACATCCGCGCCCTCTCCTGTTATAACACGCATGATAGATTTGGACGGCCATGAGGAAATGTAGATGTTGACACCCTGGGCAACCATACTATATCTTGTCAGTGCATTAGTGTTCTCTCCGCATATCGCCGTACCAATCTTGACATGCTCCGTTCCGTCTGGACCCTGGACAGGTAGGTACGCCACTTTAAGTCCTTGGCCATCTCCAGGGTCCAAGCCAACTTCTCGTAGAAAGTAGGAACAAGCTTGCGGTGATGGACGAGGATTTCGCCAGTAACTCCGATGATGAGATTGGCGTTGAACATGGTCACGCTACTGTATCGAACCTTTTCGGATATTCCGATGCTGACAGTAACCTCTTGCTTCCGAGCTACAGCTTGAATGGCCTTGACTTGTTCTCCATCGGCATAAACAGATTGCTTGGCCATTTCCATGAAAAATTCGTGCGCCTCCCCGGGCTATTACAAAGCAATCCGAGATTAAGCCTTCATGACGGACCATGAAGGAGCACTCGGAAAGCTGCGTCTGACTGCCCAGGACTGGGATTTGCTGTGTAAAGTCCATGCTTTCCTTCAACCATTTACTTCGGCTACGCTGTTTGCGGAAGGAGATAAGTCGTCTATTTCTCAATCCCTGCCTTTAATGGACGCCCTTCTTGCCCATAATGAGAGAAACAAGATGTACTACTCCCAGGAGGAGCACCAGGATTCGAAGATGATTCGGGCAAGTGAAATGGGCTGGTTTGTCCTTGATAAGTACTATAACTTGACCGAGGAGGCGCCCGTCTATGCTGCCGTTCTTCTTCTTGATCCCTCTCGCAGAGCTTCCTACATTGGGAAGAACTGGCCAGTTTCATGGGTCGAGCCCGCTATTGAAGCAGATAATGCACTGTGAGAAGAGAACTTCAAGGAAAAGCCCGTTCCGAATGACGAGTCGACACCTCTATTAATGCGGCCACCAACAAAGCCTCTGAAATGGCATAGTGTTGAGCTAGACCTGCTTATGAACGATATGGAGGTCATCACGGCCGACTTCCGGGATGGTGATGATTTTAGGACGTTAGTGAAATCACCTCCCTTCCGCATTGACTGCAGTTCTCTCGAATGGTGGTCTCGAACCGAGCAGAAATCGCGCTATCCACGGATGGATACTTGTCCTGCGCTTATCCCTAAGTTTTCGACTTCCATTTTGGCTGTTGGACTAATCTTAACAAGGCATCAATGACCTATAGAGGAGTTCTGACAATCGGGCATGATGTCCTAACGGTACTTTACTCTTTGGTAGATGCTTAAGATAGAGTTAGAGTTCAGAAATGGTGTTACGATTACACTACTGTCGCAGGATAGGTATGATGAGGAGCCTTGGGGAAACAACTATATTAGTAATCCAGCTGTGTGCTTCATAGCGTTCCCTCCCGCACCTCAGACAATAATAATTAGAAAATAACACTGCTGCTTGCATCAAGGTCATCTGACCTCCAATCACTTCAGCACAATCAGTGCGACACCTACCAACAAATTTTCGTATTTGCAACTCTCTATGATCCAGCCCGCACTTTTAAGAGTGCCACCAATATAGAGTCCATCCGCGCGTTGTATGTCGGCGAGAAGATGCGACTATATTATACCAAGCCATTCTCTGATGGTTTCAACTTCGATGGCTCGGGCCTAATAATCACGATTAGTATTTTGTCGTTTCAAAGGATTACCTGGGAACGTACCTGGACAACTTCTGGCTTATCTCTTGGATCTGGAGCAAAGAGGTCTTCGCGGTGTGCCATATTGCTCACATACAAGATCTTGGAAGCGTTCCGATTTGCGGTCACAGGGAGAGACTGTGGGGCTAGACCAGTTACTGGGTCCCACTGGCCCACTGAAAAAATAATCCTCTCAGAAGCCTCATAATCGGCTTGTGAGAGATGATACATTGATCCCAACTGTTCTGAAGTAAGCGGTGTGATGCCGAACGTTGAGTTGCAGAACGAGTACAGGTCCTTCGGTGGATAGTCTGATGGAGTAAATATCGTGTCGTTCGAAACACCACTATTCACTAGGGGAATGAAAGTGCCTAATAGTGCTTATTAGTGTCCGGTGATCTAGCTGTAACGAAATTAGAGCTGGCTTACACTGTATATAGAGGAATGGCACAGGTTGAATTAAGGGGACGGCGTCATAAAGAGAGGTGTTGAAATCAAGACAAGCCAGAGATGGATCCAGAGATTTCCACCATAATAGGGCGCCTTCCTGAAGTACTTTGAAAGGATCATCCTTATTCAACAAGATAGTCTGGACTAGCCGATCTAGAGGATTTGCGATCGGAGTTCTCCCAAAGTTTGCGAATGGATAATTGAATTCTGTCGCCATGTTATATGGCCACATTAGAAAGTTAATAAGTTTAGTGTTATCTGCTGACCCTGCGGGGGCTTCGCATAGTCCTAGTTTGCTCTGAAGATTTGCCTCGTCACCTCAGACTTATATTAGTGGAATCTCTCTTCCTCTTAAGGTTCAAGAGACTTACCTGATTGAAGAACCTGCTGAAGGGTAGTGAATGCCTTTTTAGCGACAGAAGCAGCCTCAGCAGACTTATCAGAGACAGCATTCGAGATCTAGAGCGAGTAGCCTAATCAGTAAATGCGTAGAAGCGCATAACTACAACCATCAATAACTTACCCAATTCCACCAATTGAATCGCTCAGCAACGTTTCCATCCCCGGTAAGAAAGCCAAGAATGGGTGGAGCAGCGGCAATCGCCCCATATATAGAATTAGGTCTGTTGAGACGCAAAGCAGTCACTAGAAAGCCACCGTAGGAGCCGCTTGCAACAATAGCGGGACTCTTGGAAGCTCCGGAGATGTTTTTTTGCATTTGCTCGATAAACAGGGCAGTATCATCCATAATGTTATCGAGTGTGAGGTACCGGAACCCTTTTTGTGTATAGGACTGGTCAGGGCCAAAAGGGGTGCTGTTACCGAAATATCGGTGCTCGATAGCTGCAGCAATCCCACCTAACTGCTTTGCGTACTCAAATAAAGACGTACTTTCCTATGCCTCAATCGATTAGCCTTGATCGTAGAGACGACAGATCATAACTAGCGTTAAATCCTAACCACGCAGATCATCGCAATAGACTCTTCGCCCTGAAATAGAAGGATTGGGCCTCCAGGCTTATAAAAGTCCGTGACCACTTGGACTTGTTGTTGGAATGTCCCAAGACTATGATTTGAATGGTCAATCCATTGGGTAATCCAGGTACTATTGTTGCACGCAAGGTTGGGATTGTCCGTCATGCTTTGCGCAGCACAGAGGGTTGTTATGGACAATAAAAGGCCGAGGACAATCATTTTGAAGACGTCGGAGCTTTTCGTATCATGGACCATGTGGTCGATCGAGAAATAGAGGCCCTAGAATTTTTATTTTGGTATAGGTATAACTATGTATGTATACATCCATATATCTATATCCTTATGCGATTCGATGACACCTGCTAAGAAGTAAAACTGTTATAGAAAAGCCGGAAGCCGGAAGCCGGAAGCCGGAATGAAACAACGGTCATTGGAAACATCCTGCGCCGCTCAAGGTGAGTCAAACAGGTATAGTGCGGCGGTAGCACTCAATTCTGCGATCCTCAGGTGCACCACAGCGCAAGCGCAGTTCTGGACCTAGATTAAAATTAGACTAGCACCCCTGGGGTGAACTAGACGTGTTGAGCTCCGGGCATGTGCAAAGATCCTGCGAAGATCGATGGAATGATGGTATAATCGAAGCCTCTGGATGATGAGAAACGCCAATGAGGTTTACTCGCTTTTTCGACGCAGCACTGACCGACGAGTACGAGAGCCTGCATATGAAGCTACCAATGAAATAGTAGAAGAACTGTGGGTACTTATCAACTTGCAAGGTTTTAGCAGTGTGACTGTAGATCATATCCTACGAAGCAACTGGGCCAATTCGACGCCTGGCACAAACCTTATTCTTGCATTTTGCATTGAACAGAGGTAAACCTTTGTCTGGAGCCAACGGATCACACAGTATGCAACGGGTGGATACGGAACCCGGACTTAGGAAGCGGAATCACGCTCAGAGCAGTATTGGTGGAAACCTGTTCTGAATTCGTGCCCGCGATTTGGCTCCAAACTTACAGGCTGCCTGTTAAATGCGCAACAGGGAAGTAATTATACTAGCAAGCCTCCAAAAATTCGCAAATGGCGGGTGCGGCGCGTTCTAGTGGCAGGTCTCCAGGTTGAAGATTGCAACTTTTGCTTAGTAATGCACGAACTAAGACTGAATCAGTTCAATCCTTGTTACAATCCTTACTCTGTAACAAAATCCCCATTCACTTCGAAATCCAAATATGAGACAATGGTCAGAGGTTTGTTTAATTCCTATGGGAATTTGCGGATACGGCGGCGACATGTATAGGTGGTCGGTCTGCTGCAGATAGGTTGCCGGGTGACTCACTGCTGTTCAAGAGATAGTGTTGACCACATATGATGGTAAATCAACTTATGAGCATCGTACCGTAGGTTTGTCCGTTGTAGGGACTAACGGAATGCGGAGCTGCAGTTGGTGAGGAAGTTGGCCTAAATGGAGACCTAAGAGCCCGGCAGCTCCACACAGCTACATGGCTGGCTCATGGGCAGTGACACAATTTGCTCTTATGTAATGCAGATCCCATGAGTACCAATAACGAGTATTGATGTCCAAGATCCAGATATTCACACTCTTATTGAATTGCACATTCGAGCCACACATAGACTTACAGTGCGATGAATTCGATTTGAATCTTAGCCCCCTCTCTATAGCGCTAAATTCGAGTAGGTGTAGCCACTTTCCTTGTTTTGCATCCACTGCAATGGCTAGACTAGTATTGGAAGCCGAATCAACTATCTCATCCCTAGTATTTAGTATACCAACCTTTTGCCATGATGACTGCGTTTACGCGAACCACTATATTATAATTAAGTTAGATCGAATCTCCTATTTAATACTGTTAGAATCGATCGAGGTATAGTTGCGTAAAGGGGTGGCAACCGAAATTAGCCCGTTGCTAACAACCTACGGGTGCACAGGGGTAAAGATTCAAGTTGAATTCATCGCACTGTACACGGGATTCAGGAGGTCATTAATTATAAACCAGTATAGTGCGCAAAGAAGTCGAACTGACTGGCGCATGCCAACTTTTCACCAGTGGGAGGGGATCGTTGTCGACTAGGAGGGAAACGGTAAGGGGTATAAATCCCGCTAAGCTTTCATGGGACTGAACAGGTGTGCTCTCCGTCTTAGAAGCGTTAGTAGTGAAACATTTCGCCGTCGGTGTCGCAAATTCGTCAATCCACTTGTTACACAGCCTCGCCTCCACGCAATATTGCTCACTGCAACAAGATAAATATTGGTACGGAGTCCTCTTTGCAGAGCAAGGCACTTTTCCAAAAAGCCATCAAGCAGTGGACATACTTGTAATTTGCCAAAGGCGACTACCAGCACCATGATCGGTATGGCGTTATTCTTCATGTCCAGTCTCCTGGCGAGGGCTATGTGCCACTCAACTGTCTTACCGCCGCCACCTGGTCCTACAAATGTGCACATGACGCATTTCCCTGTCGTGGATGCCCATCGTGCTGACCCTCTCGCACCCTGCTGCAATCAACCTCGGCGACTGATGTTGACGCTTTTTCAACCAGCCGAGTGTTCACAGACTGAAGACTTCCTCTATATGCCTCCTGCGACCGCAGCTGTTGCTGATGCCTATTTTCGTGGGCTAGGCGTATTCCCCAACGACAGTGAGACATTTTCTCACCTCCACTTGCGAGCCTGCCCTCAATCACCGGAGAATGTCGACTTTCCTCTACTACTTTTCTCGCACGGTTATGGGCTTTCACGCTTTGACTGGAGCAACCTACTCCAATGGATCGCTTCAGCAGGCTTCAACGTTGTTTCGATCGATCACACTTATGATGCCAATATCGTGGAATTCCCCGATGGTAGTGTCATCAAGGGTCTAAACCTTACAACCCTGGATCAAGTACTTCCCATGGTACAATTACTCCTCCAAAATCGCGTGGCTGATATCTCCACTGTACTCGACTTTCTATCAAACGCTACTAACACTGAAGGTCTTGGAATACCTACTTTACAAACGGCGCGAATTGGTGTCTTTGGGCATTCGCTTGGTGGTGCGACAGCAGCGGACACCGCTCTAGTAGATTCTAGAATGGTGGCAGGTTTAGCTCTAGATGGAGGGATATTTGCGAACGCCACACAACACCCAGTCCAACTGCCCTTCGTACTCATTCAAAGAGAAGGCCATAATCAGAGTGCAGACGCAGCCCTAGGAGAGTTGTCCTCAAATGTGACACAACTTTGGACCCAGCTCAAAGGATCTAAGCTGCAGCTCGAGATCTTCGGCACTGTGCACGACTCTTTCAGTGACCTACCTATCGTGGCTGATTCTATAGGCTTGGATGTGAATACCCTACCCTACGCCAAATATTTCGTCGGAACAATTGATGGTCTTAGACTACTCAATATAGAGAGAAGCTATATCAAAGGCTTCTTTGAGGAAACATTGGAAGCGAAGCAGGTCGATCTTCTTCACGGACCGAGCTCGGAATTTCCAGAGGTTCATTATGTGAACATCTCCACAGCAGCTCAGGCAAATGCGTGATGCTTTCACAACTCCACAAAGCATCGTTGACGACGGAAAAAAGCACTAGCGGGCAAGAAAAGCGTGTTGGTTAGACTGTGGCAACCTCTACAACTATATAGACCGGAATTCTGTAAACAACCAGATTTAGAAGCCGAGCGGTCACTATGACCGCCCTTCAGCACATTTCATTGCAGATCTCGCGAGACTTTCGTGTCTCCTGCCAGTAAGGATATCAATCGTAAGGTAACACCGTTGTTTATCTTCGGTGGTCTTCACCCTCCATGGAGCGGGGTTGCTTCAGTCAAGTTTTGTAGCTCTACACCGCCTAAACGAACATCCCTGACGGGACACTTACAGAATCACCTTCGTGCTGGTCATCTTGTGGGCGGCTACAGTCGGATCCAAGAGCCAGCCACAAACGAAACATTATAGGGAGCTCCCATGTATACTACCCTTGGCCACATTCCCGCTTTCAGTACGGATCTCGTATCTCCGTATTGAACCACATCTTTTGATAGCCTATGGAAACAGGCCCGCAATGGCGCATGGGTCTGTCTTACCAGCCATAGGCCGTGCACAACACGGCGGATAAAGCATTTCTGACTTGATTGATTAATGGACACGTCATATAGGTGTTTCTATCTCAGAAGGGTTTCAAACAGCACAAGCTCGCTCCATCCGGGCGAATGTAGTGCTGTCAGAGTCGCTGTCATCATAGGCACGTAACCGCGCAAAAATTATCTTATGGGTGAACCTCTGACGCTGTGGGATAATTGCGGGTATTTTCGTCTCGTCACTACCTCCCCAATTCTTTAGCGGCTACTTTTCAAGCTCGATATCTCTTCCTGCAGTAAAGATGTCGTGAACTTACTATTGGTGATTTCTATCTAGTTATAGTTATATTTTTAATATAATATATTCGAGCCGATACATGTTTTTGAATTGAGATCGGTTAGCTGCGTTTGTCGCTATAATGCCGTATGGTTTGAATAAGAAGAAGGTCCTTGTACGATGACGACAGCGCCCAAAGATCATATACCTTGTCGACGATCGCTATATGCTCGTAGTTGGCATAGTTGATGTGCATGACCCACGATAAGTCGAAGCTCGCTCGGATTCGTCAGACGGATTGATGCAATGCTGGAAACACAAACTGCGTCTTGGGGTGAAACCCCAGGCATATGTAAGTGTCCCTCAACCAAGGTACTTGGGCTGGAGCATGGCATACGCGAGTTCTTGCATTAAAGCAGTGGATGCCTCAATTGCTATGGTCGAAGGGTTGGCCGGTCCATGTTAGTCCCTCTTAGAAATGCGTCGACCAGGGCCGGCCAAAAAATGACCAATCATTCGTAACATCTGGGAAGATGTCCAGATCTTCGTTCGGCTAGTCGATTTCTTCAAGCATGGCCAATAGGTCTAAACGAATCTATCGAGTTTCTATAATAGCTATATTATTAGGGGTCGATATACTACTTTTTAGGATAAGCTTCGAGGCTATATTAGAGGTTTCGACGCCGTGTCCTCGAGTCGAATTTATACTAGACGATATCCTCTACTATTTAACTAAGAGTCCTACATAATTAAATAGCTTCGCTATAAGATCTATGTCCTCCTACTCTACATTCACATCCGAGAGCTCCTTAGTAGGTATCGCCCCGTCGTATTCGTTATATAGATGGATAATAGCCTAGCGACTATAAAGTCGGATCGAGATGTCCTCGAGGACGCTTAGCTATACCTATTAGAATAAACTAAACTATCTCTTAGGCGTAACTTACGATATTCCCCACATTAGGCCATATCTTAGCCGTCCTTCGGAGGTAAGTATACGCTCTATCGTATTTACGGTAAGTAGTATTTATAACCTTCGGATTATTATTAACGGTATATTCTAACTAGATACTTACTGTAAGTATAACGAGATAGCCGATGAAAGGTTCGTAGATACCCATCCCTACTTCTTCCATCTCTATAATATGCCGGATTACCTAGCTAGAGTAAATTATAAAATCCTAATAGTACTTTTATAAAGTTATTAGAGGAACCTAATTATACTATTAACGGGTTTTTATGAATAAAACGAAGAGATAATACCTAGCGTTATTAATACTAGACTCGTCTTCGTGTAAGGCGTACTTATAGGAGATATCTTATAGCTAAATATAGAATCTAGTAAAATACCTAGGTAGAAAAATAGGAGTGTAGGTAAGGTTCGTTTAAAACACGACGAGGAGACCCTACTATAGTATAGCGGTGGAAGTAGGCTTCTATTCTAGATTAGCGAGGTCGTAGAGCGGTTCCATTCTACTCACTGATCTTAAACTCTATTAGACGGCTCTTAATGGCCGTATACGTGGAATTACATCTCTAGAAGGGAACGGACGAAAACGAGCTATCGTTAAATATATCTAAGAGTACGCTATACTATATATTAAGGAGTACTATATTGCAAGAAACAACGTCCAAGGCCCCGCCCGCAATATGTCGTTAGGCGAAGCCTATAACGTAATCGCTTTAGACGTAGAAACGTCTTCGAGATTTGGCGGGGCGCATTGTATTAGGAATAGCTGAAAAGACGAAGCTAGGATATAAGAGCATCTTACGCTTGCGCCACTAAAACTACGATCTATTATGAATAATATCTACACGACCGAACGCTAGCCAAGCGACAAGTAATCCCGGGACGCTCCGGCATATTCTTTACGAAGCAAACTACGTGTTTGTATAAGCCTTAAGCTAAGAGTAATTTGAGCCTAAGCCCGGTGCGGTCTACCGGCTTAAGACTAATTTCAGCACGCGACAACGGTATTAGATTTAGTACTTATAGGTAAAATCGACCTAGGCTAGTAAGTAGAGCGCCTAAAAATAAGTAAGATTAAAGTCGAACTTAGAATATCGAGCTACTAAAAGATTCTAGGCTTCTATCGCTAATACTCTACACGTCTTAGCGAGGGCTTCCTTACTATAGAAGAAAGGGTTTTTATAAATACGTAAACTAATAGCGAGTAAAGGGAATAGAATAAGCTTCGAGTATTAAGCCACCGAAGCTTACGAATTATCGTTCATTCTAATCAACACGGAGTACGGCTAGTTATGGAAATACTAGAAATAGAGCTAGATACCTTCTCTACTAATCTCATTAGGGATATCGAGTTCATTATGAATCCTAGGCAAGTTAATAGAATTCTACTAAGGGAGTTCCGGGGCATACTAGAAAGTACTAGAGGGAGAGGTTGAGTCGATAGAGGCCATTTTATTTACATAACGTAGTCCTTCCCTACTTTCCAAGTCCACAATCCCTTTAGTACTAATGGGGACTATCAGTACAGCCTAATAATACCATGACTAAAGTCCCTAGAAAGACGTGCATATTCGCATACTAACCCTAAAACCTATGCCAACTCATAAAGCTTGGTCTCGACTGCGACTAGATATAAATTAGTAAGGGAGCATCGTGGTCTCTCGCCTGGACACCGTGACTTTTTGCGTCTATCGGATGTCAGCGAATGCTTTTTCTTTATCTCTAGAGTACTCATCAGTCACGAGAGGTGATGAACGTACCGGCAATTCTCGCTGGCTTGACTCGCCCGCTTGATGGGCTCGATAGAATATTCATCGTCAGGCGACGCCAGATCATCCGCCATGAAGGGCCAGGAGGTGGAGTTTGCCCACTGTTGAGAGCCTCGTAAGTAACTCAAGGGTCGGTCGCAGCAGTGCAGTGAGGTCGTACGAAGGTCACTCGCTTGCTGGGGAGCGGCGGCCGGCCCTCGATAACTTGGCAATGACGGTTTGCAAAGTGCGGCTCTTAGTATTTCCTGCTCCTCTACCTACGCAATATGATAGATAGCGTGAAATACAGATGAAACGTAAAGATAGCTCGAAGCTTCACCAAGATATTGAAAGCAATAAAAAATTTTATTGCCATATTCAGTGTAAGTGTGCGAGGATATAATGGCAGTCAAGTTTTGTAACCCCTCAATCTTGCTGTCCCCCAAGCAATGAGGACATGTAGGATTATCTCTGAGCGAATTGCCTATTTCCATTACTGTACAAATGTCTAATTTCAAAAATGCGAGGGTTCCCGGGCTCTTCTGATGAGGATGAACGTCATAGGCTAAGGTAACTCGTCCAGCACCTCTAGTCACACCATCGTTGAATCTCACTAACTACTGTAGATAGCTTGCTAGATAAATCAGTTCGTACCTTGACCGCTCCTCTGACCAGCTCGCGGAATCGTAGTCTCGTGCATGCCAAGGCTAGACCCGAAGGGCACGATTAGACCAAATGGCCGATTGCTCAGGACCGGAGCACGGCACACGGAGCACGGCACATGGACCTCGGAAACCCTTCTGGCGTTTTGGCACTCAGTTTCTGTCTTTCTGCGTCGTAGGTTCCGATCGACTTTCTTTTGCCTTCTCGAACGTCTCTCGACCGCGCTGAGACTAGGACCATGGATGAATTAATGGTTTCCACAAGGGCTGTCAGGGTCATACACGGAAATTCCGTTGCTGCATGAAATGAGCCTTTTATTAACTAGCACCTGCCCGCAAATGAATATAACCGACGCTCCGAGTCCAATCGCTTCTAACCTCACAGCCTGGACGCGTACGGTGCCCCTGGAAGCTGGGGCTCAACCAAGTGTACATATATCTTTTCCCCTTTCTCTTCTCAATTCCTGCTCAATTCCCAAGGGTGATCACTCTCAATCAGATCCTGTAAACCAGAAACCCTCAGCTGCATCCCCTTAAAAGACTCTCGTGCTCGCAAACATGGCCGACGACACCGTCACCGACACCCCGGGGCCCAGACTCGCATTTGAAATGTACAAAAAGGAACTCGCCGCCGTCCCTGAGCCCATTGGCAAGATCCTCTCCGAGTATTCGCACATCCCTCCGGAAGCCCAAAACGAACACATCGTGGCCGTGCGTGACAAGGCGTACGCTTCGCACCCCTACCCGTGCTTGGGCCGCTGGCGCTTCCTCCAACTCGACCTGTCCAGCCATCCGCTCTACAACGACTACGTCGTGCCCGCTCTCGCCAAGGACAGTCCGAACCAATGGCTCTACCTGGACCTGGGCTGCTGTCTCGCGCAGGACATCCGCAAGCTGCTCTACGACGGCGCGGACCTGTCCCGCGTCTATGGCGCGGAGCTGCGGCCCGAATTCATCAGCGCCGGCTACCAGCTCTTCCAGGACGAGGCGACGTTCCCGCAGAAGGAACACTTCGTCGCCCCCGCCGACGTGTTCGACTTCTCCCCCGAGAGCGAGCTGAGCAAGCGGTTTGATGGCAAGATCGGCATCCTGCACTCCACGGCCGTGTTTCACCTGTTCACCTGGGACGATCAGGTCTCCATGGCCAAGCGCTGTCTCCAGCTGATGACGCAGCACGACGGCCGCGTGTTGATCTGCGGCGCGCAGATAGGCAACGTCAAGCCCGGCGAGTATCCCGCCATGCGGGGCCAGGGGACCCGGTACCGGCACAACGAGGAGAGCTTGAAGAAAATGTGGCACAAGGTCGTGCAGCAGAAACCCTGGAACGTCAAGGTCAAGGCCATAGAGATCGGGACCAGCATGACCGGGCCAGCGGAACAGGATATGAGCCGGATCAAGGAGGAGTTGGAGGCCGGGCAGAAACTTGAAGCTGACTTGGCGAAGCTGGGAGAGGGGAAGGAAGCTGAGGCCCGCAAGAAGCACCTTGGGCACTTTGAGCAAGGGCTCAGGTGGTTGCAGTGGTGGGTCTGGGTGGATTTCGTGTAGAAATGTGGTTATCTATCTCCCTCGCGTGCGTGTGTACATATATATGTACACACCTCTCGGAGTTTCTTCAGCGACCTTGAGGAGGCGTGATGAGGTTTCTTAAACTACATACAATGCCACCCTTTAACATTCATGCTATTTACTTTGGATGCCGTCCCTCCAGGTTTCATTGCCGGTTATACACTGAAATGCCACTTTCACTGTTTATTCTGTACAAAATTTCATTTGGAAGAGCGATGAACGATGACCAAATTGGTGGACGTGTCGGCGAAGGTCTGTTGGAACTTGTGGAACCAAAGTACGTGTACTAAACAAATGAAGCTTTGAAAGGAAACCATCCTGCCAAGCTTCAAGTGCCCAAGCCACAGAAGCCTATCAGCACAGAGGCGGCGCCACAAGGTGTGGCTTCGGACTAGATGGAGGCACATGGTTCATAGACACAGGTAGGGAAATATAGGGAAGCCTACCTCAGAAAGCCTACCTTAGAAAGCCTACCTGGGTCTGCGCCAAGACCCTTCATCGGGGGAACATATGGCGGCACGTGGTCTAGAGACATAGGTGGGGTAGGGCAGGTGAGCTGGAACGACACGTCAGCAGGAAAGACGCGTCAGGATTATTGCCAACACTGGGCACCACTCTCAGAGAAAAAAAGAGTCGAAAATACTTCGAATATTGAAAATCTATATGATGGTCAATGTCCGATCCTCGCCGTCCAGGTCGCGGATGCATCTTTCCAAGCCTTCTTTTTCTTTGGGACATCATCAAATTAAATTGGGTTCTTCCATAGTTGGAACAGTATCACACGATCTTAATGTCAACCGGAGGATTGAGCTGTCAACTCCGAGAGCAGTGGAAGAATCCGGGTGACATTCTCTCAGTGTTGCTGATCATTAGGTCAGAAGTCGTCAGCGCGGCACTGAGCCAATTCAATGGGTCGTCATTCAAGCCTGTGGCATTTTCAGTTGGCTGGGTTACATATGCCTATGCCTTCCTGCTGAAGACCTCTGGGCGCCTAAAGTTAACGCCGGACCCGGATTTTCGTCATTTGCTTGTCTGCTGTAGAACCGCGCCAAGGACATTTGAGGATCCTTCATGGCTTTTGGGTCGCATTCTCAATCACTACGACATATGGAGGCCGCAATTGGTTTCGACTAAAGCTCAAGAAAATTTGCGTACTTCATGGGAATTCCTCAAGGCAAGAGCTATTGAGAGAGGCGAGTCGCCCGAATCTGTACCTTGGCCATCGCATGCTGGGTTAACTGTGGCTGTTTTCGAGCCCCCGAGAGAGAAGGGTAGGGGTGCTCCCACGCGGGACAAGGTTTTCTGGTGTGTAATAGGCGTTGTTGTCATCCAAACTGGCATCGCAGCTGTGCCTTGTGGATTATATGGCCAATGGGAAATCCTACTGCTAACTGTTTGTGGTACTGGTTTGCTTGGCTTATGTGCGCTCTTCACGAGCATTTACTCTTTTGCTCGAACAGATGAAGAAAGAATATTTGCTTTAACTCAAGGCAGTGGGTATCAGGACGCCATAGTCATAGTTGGGAAAGGGCATGGATTCAATCTGGAAGATTTGTTTACTGATGTGCTGAGCAAAGATATTAGAATGACTGCATTTCGCATGTGCGATGGTCGTGTTGTGGACAGCATTGTTGATCACAACTTCTGGAATAATTAGGATCAAGTACCTGGTATTTTCTCTAGAATCCCCCCAAGTTTTTTGAACCGCTGTTGGAATTGAGCCCTTGTAGGCATTGAGCCGTTGAGCCCCTGGGGGGTTACTGCGATATCACTGGGTATAATTTCACGATCCCTCACTTTGATAGGCACTGTCATTACTCTACCAAAGGCCAGTTATCCCCCCCAAATATTGCTATGGGTTGAAGGCAGCCCCCTTTTGATCTTGGATGCCTATGAACATCGTCAGCTTTTCAGAATAATAACCACCAAGGGGGATCTCACTGTCGCAAAGCGTCCGAACGATAAAATGTTTTTCCACATCTGTTACAAGGGTATATTTTTGTTCTCTCGTGAGCTAAAATCTTGCGTAGCCAGCATCCGGTCGTGGACATACAATTTTTCTTTCTTCATAAGCTGCTGCAGTTCTGGACTCCAACATTGCGGGCTAGTCATATTGTTTCCGTCACCAAAAATATAACATTCCAATAACCAGAACGAAAAGGACAATGACAAAGTCGGTGAAATCAGTTACGATTATGTACGTTGGTTTATACTAATGCTATTTTGTCGGCGATCTATACCTTTTTAAAAAGCCCCTGCACTAAAGATCAACAATTCGATCCTTGAAATTTGGCTTCACGGTCCAGGAATAGACGGGGGAGCGCAAAAATCGGACGCCGACAGCCTTATGGTTCTTATCTCTCTCATCATGAGTGCTCAATATTTCGAGGCGATGTCTCTAGTTAGGCACTGCCACCCCCTCACGTTAGTGAGACGGGCTTCTTCATCCAGCAAGGCCAGTGTCTTGGCTGGATAGAGCTCTTGCGGAGCCGAAATGTATCTCTTTAATCCATTGTTCCCCACATCGCAGTGTCCAATTTATGAGTTTCAAGGAATCGAGCCGAAAAACTTGTTCGAAAGGATGTAGAGGTGACGAAATGGGCTTTAATACCCATTCCAGGCTCTCTCCTTCTTAATATCCTCATCGTGGTCCGGCCATGGTAAGGATCCAACGGTCCCACTTCTTGCCCTTCGCTTTCCAGTAAATTACACCCGGAAACTCTCAGCTCTTCCTAGGGAAGATGAGAAGAAGCATTGATCCCCGCTGGCATACACTGGTTTGCAGAACTTCCGGGTGGACAGGAGCTCAGATCTGTGGGTTGTCCTTCAATCTCCATGCACCTCACAGCCATAGCTGCAATTTGGGGTCCTATATACGGGCCCTCACAGCCAGCCAGTTGTAGCCGGGCGATCGCTCTCCTGCGTAGGGACAAATGGCGACATTTAAATGCTACCATATTCAGAGGCGGCATTACACCTAGAGAAAGGCTAAAGTGTCATCTCTCGATATAACGAGCTGCAGATGTATCAATCTCCTTGACGTTCTGCAGAATCATGTTGAAGTCTTTAGTGTAAGCATCCCAAGAGCACTCATGAGTAGCGTAGAGTTGCTCGAGCTGTAGTATAGTCATAACAAACAAATTGAGTAAGATTAGTATAACAGCCCGTGCTGGAGAAGTGCTACTGACATTCAAGCGGACTTGCAGCGCTGCCCTCGCTACCTTTAGTCGTTTGATATGGTCTAAGATAGCCTTTTCATGCGAGGTAGTGCTGTGAGAAACTGTGTCGTGGTGAACTGTGGCGATCGCAACATGTGCATAATGTAGAATATTTACACAGTGGCGTTCGATGTCCAGTAGACTTGATGTGTGCTCGTCGAAGAATTCGATCGCTTTTTCAGTCGTTGGCAGCCTCACGCCTTCTGAGAATAACAGACATTGAAGGTCGTATATTTGACACAAATGATCAATACTGCGATTCTCATGGTTGTTGTCCCCAGCTGTGAACAAGGAAACAGTAACAACTGCATGCTTGAGTCCATTTTGCCGACGACGTTGGAGTAGTTCGATAGCTAGAAGCAGCGTGGTTGACATGAATATTGAAACTGAGGGCGTCAGAGCACTGAGGAGCTCCCTCGAAAGCTCATGTATTGCCGGGCCATATAATCGGTTGATAGCCGCAAGATGTACCACTTGGCTTGCAGAATACCCAGCATATGGCATTTGCAACAGTTCAAGTGCTTGTAGTGCTGACACCAAGGACTTTGGGAAGGTTGATAGCGAATGTAAGATCTCTCTTAAGCTAGAGCTTCCCGGGTGACAGACAGCCATCCCTTCCAGAGCGTGGAGACATCTCGTGGGTAGATCTGGTTTGATGTTTAGATCGGCCGCGATAAGTTTCGTAGGTTGGTTCTCAACGCTGTCTCGTTTGAGCGCGAATCCCTCACATACTCTCCCAGCGCGGCGACACCTATGACATGATGGCCTCGACTCATCGCATTTGACTTTTCTTTCGTTGCAAGTATAGCAACAAGACCTTGATTGAGGTTTTGCAAGAACCCGGAGCCGCCTGACGTTGACATTTTTTTCACCGATACGCAGCAACAGTGATTCTTTTGCTAAGACCAACCTCCGGCCAGTAGCCTAGCCGGGCCATGCTACAGTAATTAGGTGTAAAGCTAGTACAGTAAAAAGTGGCTTAATAGCTGGGGGTCTCCAGTGCCTCTTCAAAGCTAATCCACAAGTTAACCTCGTCTCTAAGCCTTCTCAAGCATGAAACGCCAAAACTTGGGAAGCAGGCCGATGGGACCATTTTACACGCCTGTGACCTTGCTTAAAGTAGAGCCAGGGGCCGAGGGGCCGCCTGAAGCACACCTCAGGGGCCAAAGGGTCCCGCCGAATCAGGGGTGCGCAACCACAACTCAGCCCAGTGAAAGATTTAATCATCTGCTCACCAGTGCTGTTATTGGCAATTATCATGATGCATATTTAGTTGTCGCAGGATAGGTGTGATCTTGGCGAGCCTTGGGGAAACAACTGTATTAGTAATCCAGCTGTATAAACTGCGCGACGCTGCAATCTCTGGGTCTGTGAGTCTGGCCGCTGGCGCTCCTGCACTACCTGAAACAATTTCAGCATCTGGATTTCGAGGCCTACGATCATTCTGGGAAGACAGCCATGCAGTATGCTTTGGAAAATGCCCAGAAGGAGCGTCATCCGCACCTGTTCCCGGAGAAACAGATGGGAAGAAACGATCGCGGTGCTCATTGAATTTGGTCACCCACTCACTGGTAGACAGAGCTCGGAATGGATGGATGAAAATCCACCATCCATGGATATTTTGCTAGCCTTCATTAGGAAAAGGACCTTGCGGTTTCACGACAGATACGTGCTCTGATTGGCCGGCTAAAACACATCCGACGCTAAATTCCCCCTGTCGAAGGTTCGATCGATTTGCCTGCAATGATAGGCGAGGAAGGCTTCTCCTGCACCATACATGCCGACAGGCAATGCATATGCGTTTCAAGTCTTCTGGACAGGATATGTATATATCTCGGTCGGGGAATCTTCGATTCGGACATGGATCCGCACATCTGAATCCCCCAACTGTAATGCTGTGTCACCGCCTTTCGGCGTGGCGAGCCTTGGCCCCTAATGAGCGATTACACTCGGCTTGAGGCGCAATCCTCGGTCCTTTCCACTCTAATTGATGATCCTGAAGCGCCTACCGAATTCCTGCGAAGCTTAGACCACGAGAAAGTTGTCGAAGCTGATAATAATACGCCTTGTCCTACACCCTTAAGATTTGCGTATAAGACAATCGACTTTTCGCGTCTTCAAGGCTTCCACATCCCACTTAATCATCCTAAAGAGTTAACGAGCTGGTTCTAGTGCCATGGAGTGCCATTAGAGCACCAAGATACCGGCACCGAGAGATAGTTTCTTTACTTACAATACCATTAGAATGGAACTGTTCGGAATAAGCACAAGTAGAATATTTAAAATGGCTCGAGCAACGTTACTAATTATTTACGGAATATCCATCGCGTTACGAAGGATAGTAAGCTCCCGACAAAGAAGCGGAAGCTAAGCATTATTAACTAGTTACAACTTACTACTACCTAGCCCCGCGAGTAGGATATAATTAATAAGCTAACCTAGAACTACGATCATTACTACTTTAAAGCTCTCCTCGTCCGGTGGGCCGTACACGACAATATTACCTTCTATATAATTAAAAGCCGGCGATTCCGGGACCTTATTATCTACCTAAATCCCTCCACCGAGAACTCGCTCCCTACCGATAAGACGCTCAAAGTATAGCTTATCTAGGCCTTTAAGTTAGGCAAGGATAATGTCCTACGATAGCTACAATAATCTATTAGGAAAGTAATAATGTCCTTTAACCTTTAGAGCTCACGAAATATGCTTACTCTCCTTAGAATATACGTTTACTTCTTGGATATAGATAGTAGGTATTAGAGTTTCCTTTTAGCGCTTCCTAAGCAAGAAGGGACACATACCGGCGTTAATATTACGGCCAACATCATCGAGATTATTAGGGAGTTCCGACTTAAGGACAAGATCGGGTGGTTCGTCTACGATAATGCATTAAATAACGAAATATATCTTAAGGAGCTAGGTAGTATTCTTAGATTCGACTAGAAGTAGCGGCGGCTAAGGTATATAAGCTATATTATTAACCTAATTACACGGTAGATCCTCTTTAGAGATGATCCTAATGCTTTTGAGACCGGGGTAGAGATGGCCTAGGACCCTAAGGTAGAACTTTTACTCTAGCGGCGTTAAGGGCCGGTAGGTAAGCTCCATAACATTATTATCTAGATATCCCGTTCGTCCCAACGTATGCAGCGGTTCCTCAAGCTTCAGACGCTATATTCCGACGACTTAGCCTTGCATCTCGTCGTCGATGTCATTACACGTTGGAATTCAAGCCTTAATATGATCGAACGAGGTGTAAAGCTCCGTATCGCCATTGATTCCTTCATTGATGAGGAGCAAAGGAAGTATGACGAGTATATCGCTCGGTTAACAG